TTTATAATAAATTATGTTAAACATTTACCTACATTGTCAGGGACAATCTGTATGTGTCGTACTTGCAAATCGTCCCTTTCGACCTCGAGTGTGATTGGGTGAAGACGTGCATCGTGTCCTCAAAACATTTCCTGCCCCACGGATATGTGTTGAAGACATCAATATCGTCAACGATCTTCAAATCGAAGAGGTCGATGATCGCAATCCTCCGACGATAACATCGCAACACGCTCTCAAAAATGTAGACCAAACCGAGCTTCAGTCTATCCAACATATAGTCAGAACCCCTGATCGTGTCCATAAGATCTGGCAACAGAACCATCCCCTATCCCTCAAAGTAAGTGTCGTGCAGCCAGCTGCTTCTTTAAGTATCAGAACGAGCTACATCATCACCCGTAATCTCAAGTCCAGTTATTAGGACAAACTCAAACATGGCGAAATTGGCGACCTTGCCCCTGAGGTCAAACTGGAGGGCATCGCTGTCGACTTGACTCAGCAACCGACACAATAGGGCATCGAGGATCTGCCTCGAGAACTGTACATCTCTAAACTCGTACAAGGGCCACAAAAATGATTGTCGAAGCATATCTGCATGCTGCTCATCTAGTAGCTCCAACACGGCGATGTAATTGCTAATATTACCGTTCCAGGTTGTCTTATCCGACATTTGTCTCAATGTCGCGTCCAAATGATACTTCGTTGCTGTGAATTTTTTTTAAATAGTAGCATATCGAACATAATATAATGGAATACAGCATAATCTTAGAAAATTAAGTGAATCGAGTTGTAACAACTACATGCAAGAAATAAGAATTTGCTTTTTATTTTAACAAGAATATTATCAATTCACATAAAAGATTAGTTTACAAATTCTATTTAAATTAATTAAAATATTAAAAGGAAAAAAAAGAATTTGCTAAAACGTTAAAAAAATAATATTTTCATTTTCGTAATTATCAATTTAAAATTATTTATTTATTTTAAAGGAATTTTTAAAATTTAATATATATATATATATAGGCATCTTTTAAAATATTGATATCTTTAAAAGAAGG